TCCGTTGTAGTTCCTTTCCCGCGTCAAACTGCGAGAACTTGGTTATACGAAGATAGAGTTCCTCTTAAGTTAATCTTAAGGTTCCTTCCTATGATTTATGTCAATTACTGGTTACTATGCTACATTAGGGTTTCCATAAAAGTAGCTTAGGGGTTATAGGGTTCAGGCTCTTGGGTAGGGGTTCTGGAATCAAGCTGGGGCTTAGGGACGTTTCGAGAAGTTGGGTCGAGTGTCTTAAGGCATCTAGGGTTTAGGGTTCAGGGTGGTTTAGGGTTTAGGGTGCAGGGTGGTTTAGGGCTTTGGGTTCAGGGTTGCGGGGTTTTGTCAGAGTTAGGGTTTGGAGCTTTGGGTTTCTATGTCTTCGTTCGATGGTTGTTAAAGAAGGGTTTGGAGATTCTGCACTTCTACGGTGTTGGGCTTCATGGGTGTTCGGGTTGAGGCTCCAGCTCCTCATAGGTCTTCATAGGTATTTAGGGTCGAGAAACCACGATTAGGGTTTAGGGTTTAGGGATTTTACCAACTAGAATGGTGCCGATAGTACTCCATAAGTCAAACCATGTATCTTGCTCGGTCTAATCATGCAGTACTACCGGGCATCTGATACGTGGGCTTGCTGGCGCGCTATCTATTGCCATGAAAGTAGCCCCCTGATGACCAAACCTAGTAAGGATTACAATGAATATGCTGTTCATGAGGCCGTAAAAGAATACGAGTTTACCAGTCCGGGGCCTGCAATGCCATCGTTAGTGGTATCACTATTGCTAGTTGTTCTTGCAGGTAAAAGTTAGCAACAGCGATAGATATTTTGACAGTCGAGAAGCAGGTGGCTGGAAGCCTTTCGAGCAAGACGAACCGAGTTTCAGATTACCTGTCTGCCTCGTACATTGAAACCACAAAGCATGCCTCACACACATGGAGGGCACAGTTTAGGCTATGTTCCTTATTTTGAGTGCCTACTGAAAGATCCCAACGACGAAAGCGCCGAAACCAAAGCTACGAAAGCGAGTGCTCAGCGGGCCCCTTTGCATCCATGCCGCCTCCTCTCCTGCTCGACGCTCCTTCAAGCTCTTCAGAGGGATTGTTAAACAAGCTAACAACAGGATGCTTGAAACATGTCTTTTAAAGTTGTTCTGATGAAGCTCTTCTTAAGGGATTTGTTCGGTTTCCACTTTCGGGCTTGAGTCTTTATGAAAGCCTTGGGTTGGTGTGGGGCTTGCAATGTACGCGGTCTTGACGGGTAGGAAAAGTCAAAGTGTCATCGCGTCTGCGCTGCGTGGGCTCCACTCGCGGGTTGGATTTGGCCGCGAATGCTCGGCGTCAAAATAATTCAAAATAGCCCACTAACTCGTCCATTGCACTGCCGTATAGATCAGCGGTATCAGTATGTCTGCCGACAAATTTCGCATCAAGGGTCCAACAACCGGTTGTCTTAGGGGTAGAGCTCGGGTGAGGAAATCAAAGTTGAGGCCCTCCATGCCTATTTAGAACTCATACCCAATGTCCCTCTTTAAAGCCTGTCCGATCCTTTAAAGACTCATAAAGCGTAACATACCTCAAGAAAAGGGGCCTCTGCATACAGCTGTTCCACCCGGCTCTGGTAGTTGGCAACCTGGATTTCAGAAGCATACCCACAGACTCCAAAACCCTGTTAATGAAGGAACATACTTTAAATCACGCTGGGGTTGATATTGTGCTTTATAAATTGATTAAAAGCTTGTGGAGTCTCTGGGTAGAAGGATCTTGCATGCTTGCAGCCAGGGTTGTGCGAGAGTTGGCTGCAGCTAAGAAACAAATCTACTTGTGATCCTACCCACTGCTAGCTACTGCCCCTGATGAGAATCCGGGCATACTCTACAACAACGATTACATAAGACTGTCACGACTGAGCAGCGAATTTTTCATACCCACGAACCCCCCGAAACCCTACAAACGATTTTGAGTCTAGAAGCTTTACGTCGGTGTAGACTTCCGGAATTCAGGCCGCGAATAAAGGCTGGGAGCTCAAAACATGGAAACGAAGAGAAGAAACTGACACGCACGGTGTCAAGATTCCGGGCTTCAGGCTTTGAGGCTTTAGGGTTGTCAGGCAACATCCAGCACTGCTGTTGCCGATGCTACTGCTCATCTTCCTTCTCCTCCCCTTTCTGCTGATGCCGCTGCTTCTGCTTCTGCTGCCCCTGCTGCTTCTAGAACTAATACTAATGCTGTTCACTTCTACCCACCAGCACCACCGCCGCCACCACGACGATGCCTAACAACTACTTCTGCTGCTACTAGTGCTACAGCCTGTCACCTACCGACCACCTGCTAGCTACTACTGCTGCACGGTAACTCCAATACTACTATACTATACCAACTCTACTACTCCATATACTACTACTCTACTACTCGACTACACTATATTGCCATACTGCGGGCCATACTACTAATCACATTGCTACAGTGACTACACAGTGCACGACTGCACGCTGCTGCGATGCTGCTGTACGTTACTACTATACATTTCCAACAACAACTGTACACGAGCAATGATTCCTCATGTCCCTTGTGTGTCACTGCTGTATGGTGATGGCAGCAGCATGGTCGAGGTATCAGCAGTTGCAAAAGCGACAACAACCAAGACAAACGAATAACTATAACAGCAAAAATCATTGCATCCTTAGGTAGGCACAGCGACAGCGACAGTGCGACTACGAAGAAAGCTAAGATTGCCAGCAACGACAATCACGACAGTAGTAGAAACGACATCAAGCTTCATGGTGCTAGCGTCCGTACTACCAACGCCGCAAATGATAATTACATCGACAGCACGAAGGACAATCATGCCACGCACACCAGCATAAGCATGGCAATCATGTTGGTGCTCGTGACTAACAACCCTAAACCCCAAACCCAAACCCTAAACCCTAAACCCTAATCAGAAAGTGAACCAACCTAGCCTCTGCCCGCATGGAGGTGAGGTGTTCGGCCACCATGCCACAGCCCACACGCAGGCCTTCCATGAACGTGTGCTAGTATATAGGTGGGGTGCCCTGGTGTATACGGTTAGGGGTAGTATTCCACAGCATTAATAATGTGAAGCTGAGTAGGACTATTTATTATACTGCCCGTGCTACGTATGGGTCTGTAAACTGGGTTCAAGTAATACACCCTAAACCCTAAACCCCTAAACCCTAAACCCGAAGCTGCGTATGTAAAGTGCGCAGCCAAAGCTCTAAGCCCCAACCCAAACCATTTCAGGACCCTGAAGAACCTAGCTTGTTAAGGATTTCTATAAGGGAATCATAATAAGGAACCCTAAACCAAAAAGGTAGGTTCTTTAGGGTCCAGCTACGCCATGAGCCCTGAAGACTCAGCACATCTTTTCTGCATGAAGCAACGTCGGAAAACCAAAACCCTAAACCCTAA